GTGCAAAGTATCTGCCAACCTGGCATTGTTAGCCAAAAATAACACTATTTATTCATTAAAGAAAAGTAAATACATTTTGTACACTTTGGTTCATCTCTTTAGAAAAAATAATAATAATTTTAGGACACATCACTTTCCTTTTGCCTTTTGGAACTGAGGAATTAACTCAATACACAAAATAAAACAAAGAGCCTAATGACTCTTTTATCTTTGTGGGCTTCCTGTAAAAACCTAGACAAGATTTTTCTTTTTCTTTTTTATATGTAAAGCTCCACCAAACCTCCATCTTAAACTGAAGACCTCAGAGCTCCACCAATACACTTCTGCTCTCAATTGATTCTTGATTTTGTTGCACCGTGCAGTACCATCATCTTACCACTTGAGGGCAGCATAATAAAAGAAGCGTATTCAAGTTGTTCGGCAGAAAGCCCTAATTTGAACTCCGTTATTACGTGTACTGTCAACTTTACCCTGAAAATATGTTTGATTTACAATTTTATACAAACTTGCATTTCTAAATATGCAAATTATCTAAATGAACATAGACATAGAATGACAAAACTTTTGAATAAACATTAAATGAATAAAAGTTGAATAAACCGTCTTTAAGTTTATTTGGATTGGTTACATTTGTTGGTGCCAGTGGGTGAAAAAGATTAAAAGCTCAAATAGGCATATATCCCAAAGAGTTCCCAAACCAGTTACAGGTCACAAAACTAAAATGACTGCAAGCAATAAAAATGGTGAGGATTTCTGCTCACGTACAAGAGAACAAACTCTAAATACAAAACAGAAATTTAAAGTTAATCTAACACAATCAAAACAAACAGAGAAGGCATCTGGATTTATTCAGATAAATGTAAAACATTCAAAATAATAAGACAAGAACAGTGGCCTGGACTGGAGCTGATGAGAGAAGTGGCTGCAGCTGTGACAACCATGGAAAATAACTGAGAATGACAGAAACACAGGAAGGAGATTAACGACACAAAGAAAATACAGAAATGGAACATTTAAAGAAATAAAAATGCAAACAGGAAGCTAAACACTAATAAATACGCTGATCATGACAATAACACATTTAAAGATTACCGGTATCTGAACTCTAACGAGTTCACAAATATGACTGATGGAGCAGAATCAGTGTGTCGTACCTTTTAGGGACTGTGTGTTCGGGCTGCTTTAGCACTCTGAGGTTTATGAAAATAAAAGGCTGCTAACCTACAGTGTACTCTGCACGGAGAGATTAAAGACATGACCTAGTTTCTGAGTGGACCGGGACTAAAAGCGGACTTCTGCTCTTGGCAAACCACACAAGAGATTATTATTAATAATCCAAAATGCCAAAGCTGAATTGGGTATCTTGACAACAGGTGCTCATAAAGACAGAAGGACACAGCAGTGAGACAAACTGTTAAAAGGATCCAAATTTCCCATTTCTGTTTATTTGGTAAATCTGTTAATATTCAGGTAAACATGAGAATATTCGTTTTCAAAGAAGGATTCTTTAAAGCCTTTAATGTTACTTGTTTACCTCTCCACACATATTAGATTTAACTAAAACATTGTGGAAATTGCAGCAGTTAGAATTTAACACAGTGATTGAAAAGAATCTGCTGATATGTGAAGTTTTAATTAATTTATTTATTTTACACTGGATATGCTCTGTCCTGCGTGTCTTTGTAAGAAACTGCTTCTTAGCGGTCAACATGTCCGCTTGACATTTCACAGACACGTACAAGACTAGAGCCAAACTAATTCGACTTGCAGCTGTCCCTGTTAACATGACTTTTTGATAAGTAGCCAGGAGCGTGCACTAAAATTCATACAAATAATGTAATCGTAAACAGTGAAGCAAGATAACCCAGATGTTGCCCAAGAAAAACATTTTCTCATATAATCATAGCTTTTCATATGTATTTTCACTCATCTTTGTGCTTTATGGTTTATCATCTAATAAATTTTACTTCTTTAACACTAAAAGGTATTTTTTCTGTGCTACATTTTTTGAATTGTCTTTATTCTCATAATGTTGCTAAATTTTTTAAATTCTGTGATGCTCCTCGTGTTTTCTAGTAAAAAAGTTCTACTTCTTCAGGATATTCTGCACAAACAGGCAGATACAGGGTTAGCCATGTCTATCTTTCTAGGGCACTAATTGAAATCTAATCTAGCTTCTGGTTGTGTGAGTTGGAGGGTGGGGTGGAGGTGGGCATGATTTTATGTTTGGAGAGTGGGGTGGGGTGTTTATGTATTTTTTTAATTGCAAAAGGTTTTATTTTCTATTATTTTTTCTGTTTTTTTTTCCTCTCTTATTTCTATTTTTGGATGCTGTTTGGATTTTACTGTTTGATGGGACTACAGATTAAAATTAGCCTTAGGCTAAATCTAGTGCAATGCATCAAATTATGTTTTAATTGCACACTGTCCCTAATAAATAAATAAATAAATCATTCATTCATTCATTCATTCATTCATTCATTCATTCATTCATTCATTCATTCATTCATTCATTCATTTGTGATGCACAAGCAGCCGTTTGCTGTGAAGATAAACATGACTTTATAGTTTCCCATAAAGCAGTGGTTCTTAACCTTTTTTGAGGTACCAAACCCACCAGTTTCGTATGCGCATTCACTGAACCCTTTTTAGTGGTAAATAAAATATGATTTTTTTTTCCAAATTCAAGATATGTTTTTTTTTTACTGGTGTATAAAATGAGCCGTGCATGAACATCACGCTCAAAGAACAAAACCAACACA